TAAATCTAATTCGTTAGTATTAGCCTATTCATTCTGATCCACATAAAATAATAAAAATTTGTTATCATCAATTAAAACTCACTCTCCCAAAATTAATCAGTGACACATGCATGACATAAATGTTATACTTCAAGGGAAAACATCAAAGCTTGATGATCTCCACATCAAGTCAAAGAATATATCAATGTAAAAAAAGAATAGAATGCTGAGATGCTTCTATACATCATGACACATGTAACCCCTTTATGACAATGTCAAAATAATTTGGACTGAATGTATAAATAAGAAATGTTAATAAAAAAACCTAATGTAGAAATTACAATAATCATATAAATAAAATTTATTGATAAATCTAAATATCTAAATTCATTTGATTAGAATCTATAAGTATAAATATTGATAATTACCATTCAAATTCATTTGGTTAAAATTATAAATATGATAAAAATAATATTAATATTGATGTTGATATTGATATTGAATTTAAATAAATAATCAAATAATTAACATTATCGATATTATCTAAATCAATCTGATTAGATTCTATAAATGATTATTTAAAAATAATATTAATTCAGGTATTAAATTTTAAGATTAATAATCAAATAATCAATGGCAATTACCATCATTATTGCCAATGATTGTAACTTTATTGGAGTTTACAGGTTGAGGAAGATTTGCAAAATTCAATAATCTACTTGTATAAACAGCATTTGGATGAACAGTTACTGTAATTGTTGAAGGATTAAAAGGTTTTTTATCTGCTTCCTCAAATATTTTTCTTGTTTTTACCAATTCATCAAACTGTTCTTCAAGATAATCAGGCTTATATGTACAAATAGCATCCTTCCAAAAAGTAATGATTTTTAAAATTTCATTTGCTGTTGGTCTTTTTTTCAGGAGCAGCATCTGTGCATCTGTATGCTAACTTATATAACATTCTGGAGTATTATCTGAAAAACTAGGCCTTAAGCCTTACAGATCTTGAGAGCAAGATCTAGATCATGTGGTTGATCTTTGAATGGTTGCTGATGTGTTGATATTTCTGACATTAAAATCCCAAAGCTATATATGTCTGATTTTTGAGTGTAAGGTTCCTTATTTAAAACTTCTGGTGCAATATATGGAAGTACTCCAAATATACCATCTTTACTTGATGATTCTTGATCAGCTGGGTCTGTAACCCTAAATCTGTAATTTTTGCCTGGGATAAATATTCAAAATATAAAATATTACCACTGTGAAGATCATGATGCATAAGTCCTTCTTGATGAAAGTTGCTTAAACCTGAAATAAGATTATAAAGTATTTTAATTTTATCACCCTATCCTATATAATTTGATTTTATATAATTTTTAAAACTTCCACCCTCTGCATATCTCATTACTAAAATATATCCTTTTGTATCTGGATCTTGTGAAATACCAAAAATACTAACAATATCCTTATAACAAGATCCTACAAATTTAATGTGATTTTGAAGCTTTTGTGAAAATTAATAAAAATTTAATATATTATTTAAAAACCATTAATTGTCAATTAATTATATCAAATTATTTACCTCTTTTAAAAACTCTTCAGAAATATTTAGTGAGTTTTTATTTTTAAACTCTTTTAATGCTACATGACCACCTTCCAAATAATATCTTTTATTATCATAAATATACCTAGGACCATTTGACCAGCAACCTTTATATAGCATAATGGACATTCGTTTATCACATAGTGATAAAATTGAATGCAGATCTTTTTTATGCTGTGCAACAGCATATTTTCAATTGTTTTAAAATAGAAAAGGCTGGTTATAACACGGGTGATTAAAAACTACTTGTAAAACGATGATGTT